TTACATTTGCATTTTTTGTCTTGCCTTGCCTTTTGCGAAAACGCCTGGCCATCAGTTTTCCTGGACTTGTAGCTGTTTTTGAGGAAAGTCCAGATTTACAAAAATCTTTCTTTGACGTCACGACTTGCCTGTTACTGGCGAATTCAACGAATATTCCTCAATTAGTGCACCCATTCTTTCCATCTGTCTCCTCTCGTCTCTCAGCGGTTGTTTGAGTGATTAGTTTCAAAATTTCTCTGCTATGCACGGAGAAAAAAACTTCGTGCATCGGACCCGAAGTTAAGGTAATATGGATCTCTGAAGTTTTCGGATCACACGTCCGAGAACTTGAGGTCCAACTGCCTAAGTTCGGGTCAGACATCTGAAGTACTTAGGTATGTACTGGAGCACTTCAGATAGATGACTCGAACCCTCCGGTATATACCAAACCGAAGTACTTCAAATGTCTGACCCGAACTTTGGCAGCTGGACCTCAAGTTTTCGGATGCGTGATCCGAAAACTTTAGGGATCCATATGACCTCAACTTCAGGTCCGATGCACGAAGTTTTTTTCTCCGTGTGCCAAATTTGTATACTTCTTCCCGATTTTCCCTTTCCAATTCCAGCTGCGGCAACCTTGACGCTGCTGGTCACTCCAAAATCTAGGAACCACCTCCACTCCTCCAGCCTCCCACCAACGCTGCCATGCTGAGAAAAAACGCAGTAAGAGCCTTCAGACGCTACCAAATTGACCTCAAAAAATGCAATTGTTCAGTGATCATCCCGATTGGTTGGAAAATGATATTCTCAATTTATATCTGAACTATCTAAATATTCCAGGGGGCCAAATGCATTCCTCTCCTAAAAAATAAGTATTCGTCAGGGTAAATTCGACACCTTCCAACTGCGCATACGGCGTTTGTTCTTAGCACGGCACACGGGTGTATGACGTGACGAGGCCGATGACGTGAGCCGATGAATTGGTTTGATTGGTCACGGGGGGCTCCTCGGGGGCCGGGGGGAGGGAGGATGCAACGGTGTTCGCAAGTTACGCACCGAGGGGGCACATGCCCGGAGCGGTGGCGGCAGGGGGGAGGGGAGGGGAGGCTGGGCTTGGTGCCTGGGTGCCCGCAGTATAAAAATATGAGCGGCTCTTCGGCGAGCCGTTAGACCAATTGGCACTTATCTGCATTCTTCCGCATGCGGCATGCGGCCGCAGCGGCTGCACCGCCGCGCCGGGCGAAACCGCGCAACTGCGACCGGCAGCCGTTGGGAGTTGAGCGGTTTTCGGCGGGGGCTCGGCTCCGCACTTTCAGCGCCCGGCGACCTTGTTGCGGACGAGATGCGGGCCAACCCTGCTGAAGAGCCGCTTAAGTCCAGCGAGGGCCTTGCGTACTTACGTGGTCTTCGCTCCGTACGGCGGAGCCCTTGCCAGCACTCCCGCGGTCCAGAACACGCGGCAGAAAAACTCCTGCAAACCTCATAAGAAACCCGGAGAATACGGGTCAAGCTCTCGGGTTACTCGTGAAAATTAAAGAGAGCGGGTTGGTTGTGCTCATTGCGGGGTCGTGTTTTGATGTTGACAGGTAACAGATCAGCCAAAAATCACACGGAGACAAACACTTCGTGCGTGGGACTCGAAGTTTGGGTCATATGGATCTTTGAAGTTTTCGGATTGAGCATCTGAACACTTTAGGTCCAGCTGATGAGGTTTGGATCACACATCTGAAACTTCAGTTCTTACATCGGAAGTACTTCGGTTTTCACATCCGAAGAACTTCGGTTCTCACATCCGGAGTACTTCGGTTCTCACATCTGAAGTACTTCGGATGTAATAACTGGAGCTCCAGATGTGTGATCCGAACCTCGACAGCTAGACCTACAGTGTTCAGATGCTCAATCCGAAAACTTCAGAGATCCATATGACCTAAACTTCGAGTCCCACGCACGAGGTTTTTTTTCTCCGTGCAGATTTGGTTACCTCGACCCGAAGATTCGATCAACTTGACACAGGGAAAATTGACACAAAAAACTCACTTCTGCATTTTTGCACGAATACTGCCGGGATCTTCCCACGGGCTATTTCTTCGGCTGCGGATTTGGAAGGTAGAGATTTCAAAAGTTAATACTTACAAAATCGCTTCCCAACTAAAGATCAGATGGGAAACGATTCGAAAAAATCCATACTCAAACGATGACTACATTCACAGACCTCCTCTACATCCTCTCCTATCCTTGAAGACATACAGCAGGCGCGGCGTTCCTATCCAAGTTCCACAACGCCGCGATGAATTGGACGTATTTATGCCAAACGGAACTATGTGCATCAAGTCATGAGCCCTGAGACCCACAAGAATACATGCATAACAGGACTCACGTCATAATGCACTTAGTTCCGTTTTGTAGAAATACGTTCAATTAATTCGCAACTCCACCCCCGATCGGAGTCACCGAGTTGTCATCCGGACAAAACGACCTTGGACCCGCGGGAAACGCCAAATCGCCGCGTTCCCCCTCGGAGTGACCCGGGACGATGCAATTTCCGCAGACGATCTACAAACCCCGCGACGCGGGATCTAATTGTTTCAGGTGATGTTACTGCCCTCTACCGGCGCGGGGCGGAGTGGTGGAGCCAGAGTGTGCCCGGGCCATAAAACAAGAGGGCGGCGACTTGATGAGCATGTCGCGAGCACAATGCTAACAAAGCGTTCACAGGAAGACACTTCCTTTTTAGCTTCCTCTCCTCTGACTATCAACGCGACGCGACGCTGCGCTGTACCCCTTCTTAGGCCTCGTTTTGCTTGAATTGCTGCGCCTTGTCCTCTGCTTTGCGATCGACGCCAGCGAGCAGGATTGAGGCAAATCCAATAGAAGTTATTAGTGCCACGTCACGGAAAAGCTATATACACTGAGAAAAAAAGTTCGGTAAATCCGAACTAGTTTGGTTCATATGGAACCAAGATTTTGTTCGGTACACACGACCGAATTATTTGGTTTGCTCGGTCGAACTTTTCGGTCCACTTAACCGAACTGTAAGAATTTATTATGGTTCGGTTGCACAAACCGAACAATTCGGTTGAACAGACCGAATAATTCGGTTGTGTGTACCGAACAAAATCGCGGTTCCATATGATCCAAACTAGTTCGGATTTACCGAACTTTTTTTCTCAGTATGCACGGAGAGAAAATTCATCACAAGTTCGGTTAATACGGGAAGTAAAACACAATATGGACTGCATTTTGCAATTTGGAACTATAAATTCTGGCTCTTCTATAAAAACACTTATGTGTGCATAGGGAAACTGGTGGCACATACGTTGTTTTTAACCCGGGCGTGTTTAAAAACAACGTGGGGAGTCTGGTTGGAGTTTTCGTGAGCGGGTGGCGGGTGGTTTCAATTTACGCACCAAGAATCATTAAATATCTTTGTAAGGAGTTGGTTTCGGTAATTTTTGTTGTGCGCATCGTGTTCTACGTGAAATTTTGGTTGAGAAACATGTATCAGAATGCTGAAAATCGCGCCTTGTCTGGTGGCCCATTGGAAGGCAAAATCTATGATTTCAACGATCGAGCACGAGGAAAAGTATGTGACGAAAAATACAAGAAAAAAAAATGTTCCGATGATTTGCGAAATTTGCGCACGGATGAAAAATCGCATAAAAAATTGACAGGAGGCAAAAAAAATTCTACTTTCGTAACGAGCGCATACTGTCGCATATCCATGATGGCGCATTTCTCAACGCGTCCATATAGGATCCCGTTTTTCCGAGGAAAAAATTGATTGACTCTGGATTCTCTGTTTCCCTCACCACTAAACCCCCTCGAGCATATTTCGCCGATCCTGTTCCATTTCGTTCTCCGCTACAACCGGGCCCGTATCCCGAGGCATTAAAAACTTTAAAAAAAAAACCGAGGGCAAAAAATTTCAGAGTCCACACACGAGACAGGGTTTATAAAAGTTCAAAGGTTCACACGTAACGCTCAGTGAGTGCGAATCATCCATTGCGTTTGATTTAGTGCGCAACAAGTGGGGCTAGAGGGCGAATCATGTCGTGGATACTATCTCCGAAAATTTTCATCCTTCTGATTGTTATAGTGTCCTCGGCCATGAGCAAAAAAAAAGGCAAGTCTTCCATTCAATTTTTCTAGTCGTATATATTTCCCTTCTATGAACAAAGAATGATTATGTGTAATAGTTAGTCTTCATAAATATGTTGAGCTCATCGTATTGAATCATTTATTTTGGAGCTAGTCTCTTACGATTATGGTGATGATTCCGGCAACTTTAATTCCGCTATATTTTGTTGTAGTTTATTTCGATTGAAATGGAAAAAGCGCTTTTTTAAAAATGTTTAAGTTGTTGGTCATATTTTTTAGCCTTTGCCTCGGACCAATTTGTCAGCACTGATAAAAATGTTTAATTTGATGTAAACCGGAGCGGTTTTTTTTTTAAAAAAACACTGCAAAGCGTGGCGTACATCGCGATATATCGATTAATCTGCCACTTGAACCCATGGAAAAGGATCGCTGAACAGGATGTTCTCAACGAACACCTTAATAATCGATTCTTGACCAACGCTCCAAATGGGGAAATTCGATAGTCGATCATTCACGCCTCCCCAATGAAACACTGAAATGTCTTTGGGACAACGGCGACTGAGTTCGTCCAAAAAGAATTCCATTGCGGAAAATATTGAAAGAACGTTTCCTTCAATCCAATTTGAAATGTTCCCTAGTGATTTTGTTTGGAGAAAGTTTCAAAGAATTTTGCGGTATTGCAAAATGTGCATAAGTATCCTTCCATTGCAACCTGGCCTACTTTCACCATTGCTAAGAAACAATTGGGAAGTTTTATATATTGGAAAATGCATTCGATTTCGACTGCATACGAGAGACCAAGAACACATCTCCATAATGGGTTAATTTTTCGTTGATAGTAAATTTTTAATGTATTCTGGGAGAAAATAAAAGGAAAAAGTAAGTTAAGTTCCTCTTGTAAGATAATGTTCCTTGGGCTGCAGGTAGTGCAGGTATCTGCAATGGCGGGCAGGGAGATCCAGTCGCGGCATGCAATCAGTTTTGCGCTAATCGATACAAGGCTATCGAGGTAAGACTTTAATTCGCGTTCAACTTCAAAACATTTCTTTTGAATTACAAGTAGTTATTTGTCCCTCATCATCAATTAAGTACAGTTGTTGATAGTAAATGCTTCTAACACCGGAAGCGGGGAAAGGTGTGAAAATGAAGAAAATGAATGCACGAAATCAGAGAGGTCGGACATGCCATTTTTGACTTTGTGTTTCTTGTGACCGGACACTTCGAATTTCACGTAACCAATGTAAAATTAAAACGATAATATCTTATCTAGCAGTTGATTACCGGTAATTTTGGATGCAAGAATCGTGTTCTGCGTGAAATTCTGGTTGAGGTGATGCGATACATCGATACGTTCCATAATTTCAGCTACTTGTCGTTTTTTTTCGAATTTTGAGATCGCACTCCTGTTGTCATGAGACTAAAGAATTCACGTACCAAATTTGACAAAGAAATTCAACGTAATGAAGGCAGGGGTTTTTTCAGAGGAAAAATATCGCAATCGAGTGCAGTTTCGATATCAGTATCGAATTCGATATTTTTCCTCTAAAAAAACCTGACCTTCATTACGTCGAATTTCTTTGTCAAATTTGGTTCATGAATTCTTGAGTCTCGTGACAACAGGAGTGCGATCTCAAAATTCGAAAACTAATGACAAGTAGACGAAATTATGGGACGAATCAATGCGATATATCACACGACACAGAAAATGACGTCCGTTGGTCCGTTGGCGTCCGTCACCTTCAGGTGATTCGATTGAGGCCATTTTTTGTGTCACAGCGACGTGCGATGTATCGCATCGATTAGCTCCATAATTTCAGCTACTTGTCATTTGCTTCAAATTTTGAGTTCGCACTTCTGTTGTTATGAGACTGAAGAACTCATGTATCAAACTTGACAAAGAAATTCCACGTAATAAAGGCGTGTTTTTTTAGAGGAAAATTATCGCATTCGATACTGATATCGAAACTGCACTCGAATGCGATATTTTTCCTCTGAGAAAACCCTGCCTTTAATACGTTGAATTTCTTCGTCAAATTTGGTTCATGAATTCTTATGTCTCATGACAACAGAAGTTCGATCCCAAAATTCGAAAAAAATGACAAGTAGCTGAAATTATAGAACGAATTGATGCGATAAATCGCATGTCGTTCTGACACAAAATATGGTGTCCATCGAGTCACCTTAAGGAACAGGTATCAGAATGCTTAAATTCGTACCTGGTCTAGTGACCCATTTCCACTATAATATTTGCATGTGTTACGTTTCTCAGTACGACAACGGAGCGAAGGTGCCTGTGTGTAAGGGTAGCTGCAAGTTGAAGATATGTTTGTGCCACTTGAACCCGGACCTCCTCATCCCAAAGGCTCCCAATTTCTATCAAAGGTGGTCCTTCAATTCAAAGCCATCTGTCAGAGGCAAGTACTATGAGGCTCATGAGTACCGGCTGAAGTACGGAAGCGCGAAATCAAAGGAAGCAGCAAAGAATGATAACTACCTGACATCGACACGGTGCTGATGAATTTTTTTTTGTTCAAAATCCCTATTGCGATTGTATGCGTTCTGATAAAGAAGTTTAAAAAAATGTTAGAATTTAAAAAATTGAAGTCACGCAAATGAATTGCTTATTTCGAGAATTTTCACAATAATCCTTTTTATAATCGATCTCCTGTAAAACATCTGTAGGACTTAGTTGAATCAGTGAGAACAAAAACACACCAACTCGGAAAAATGAAAATAATTAAGACACACGCAAAACTGCACAGAGGGTGAAGAAGTTAGTTTCAGAAAAATATTTCTGCTGCCGAAAGACAAGTACTTATGGACACTTTAAAGGTCCAAGTTGGAACAGATGCGCTAACTTCAATGACCTTTAAGTTTTTAATGGAAATTGAGCATTTCCGAGTTACCGAGTTGGTGTCACGGAAAAAAAAGAAGTAGGGGTTATGTCCGAACTGTTGGATGATATGGACATTTCCAAAATTTTACCACTTTTTAACCAAAAGCACCGATTTTTTTGTTTTTCCCATTTTCTTTTAATTTTTACCAATTGTGGTATTACCTCAATTTATTGTGATATTACCCCCAATTAATTGTGATACTATCCCAATAAATTGGGCTACTAACCTAAATGTTGCGGTACTACCCCAACTTGAGCTGTGACACTGCCAAAATGAATTAGAAATGTCCATATCATTAAACAAATTGGGGGTACCGGCATTTTAGGGGATAACCCCTGACACTTTTTTATCCGTGGTGTTTTCGTTCTCGCTGATTCAGTCGTGAATGACGTTAAATTATTCACAGTTTTTCACAAGCCAAGAGGCAGTAACTCCGTTCATATTTGACTTCAGATTCTCAGTCTACGAGATTCAACATCGAAACGCAACCCTGTGACGCACGCAAATGCCATTTGTTTTACGCAATACAACGTAGAGTGGTACAAAAAAAATCCGAAATCCAGGAATAAAGATGCCTCTTCAGTGCAAAGCATAGGCGGTTCTAGACCTTCATGCTTGGGGGTGCCCAGAGGTGGAAAATGTCGCTTAGGGGAGGCATAAGTTTCGGCCCTCAAGTTTTATCCTTTTCCTAGCCTCCTTTCTATTTATCTCTCGTTCCTTTCTACTGAAATACTTATAAATTCAACGCAGAAAATTTTTAGCAAAACTACAATCTTACCGTAAAAAAACAGTAGAATCTTTGTAAAACACGGCTATCAATATTAATTCTGTTCAAACCATTTTCAATTAAATTGCTGGGATTTTTTCTCACCGAAAAAAGGGGGGTGTCAAATCAACACAGAGTTGTGTTGGGTTGGCACAACTGTTGGATTGGCCATTTTTACAGAACACAACGTAGTGTTAAATCAAGAAAATAGTTGTGTCAGATCAAGTAGACAGGTTGTCACCACTTAACACTCTGAGTTGGGTCAAGTCAAAGAAAGTAGTTGTGTTAAATCAACACAACCTACATTGGAAAAAAAAAAAGCTTGAAGCAAAGGTGAAAAGTTACAGGATTAAATACGGAACTTAAATGGATTTGGTGCCGAGGCATCCTATCGTCACGTGAGCGATATTAAATCTCTATACAATTATCCGCATCACGATCGTTCCCAAACGGTCTCCCATCTAAGTACTAACTACGCCCGATGTTACTTAACCCCGCGATCGCCCAAGTGCCGCTGCAGTGGAGTTCCGGAAGCTCTCTTTACATGGTGGGGTAACTAAGCGTTCATAAGCGTCCTCAGCGCCAATTCCATGTTTGAAACCAATGATATTCTCGGAAATTTCTATGCAGTTTCAAAGGAAGAAGTAAAATTAAGAAAAATAAATTTATAAAAAATAAATAAAATGAAAGAAAACAAAAAATGAATAAATATATGGTAACTATTATAAAGAAACAAAATAAAATAAGGTAGATTGAGATAAATATAAAGAAAATAAAATATGTCAAAATATTTGAATAAAATAGTATTGGTGGTATGTAGAATTTATTCGGCTCCAAAGTAACTTTTGGCTATAAGGCACCTCGTTTGCTCCAAGATCTACACGGCATTGTATCAAGTTAAAGCTACGATTTCTTGATTCAAATTAATTGTGCTCTCAATTTGAGAAACTTTATTGTGTTATTGTATCACAATGAAGATTTCTTGATACGAGAAAATCGTTTTCTCAATTCGAGACAATCAGTTGTGTTCTCTCATTACAAAAAATTGTGTTCATTCATGCCAACAGTAGCCGTGTTGACTCAAGAAAAATTGGGTTGAAATGACACAATATTGTGTTGCGCCAACACAAAGCCTCCTGACCCAACTTCGTAGTGTCAATTTAATGCAACTCGTATACTTCAATCAACACAACATAGCTCAACACAACTTATTGGTTTGATATATCCCAACGATTTTTTTCAGTGATGCAGTATTAGCGAATAAAGAATCTTTAAAAGCAGTAATTTGGTCTTTTTTATATTAAATTCTATACTGGTTAAAAAAGCAATAAATAGAGGTGAAGGTAGAAGATAAAAAAGTAAGATAGAAGTGAGAGTAATTATATTTATTCGTGCACTTCAATTTTCGAGGGAATAAACTATGTACGTCACTTCAAAAATTCATGAAATAAAAATATTGCCAATTTTTTGCGCCTCATAATACGATTTTTTCTCGACGTTTTTACTTGCCCAAAAGCCTCTTTCACGGTTCCGGTAACCGTAGGTACTTAATTTTTGCTTGGAGGTGCCCGGCACCCACTGGCACCCCCGTAGAACCGCCTATGGTGCAAAGGGCTTGATTTTTGGGGCAGAATCGGGCTTGTTAACCAAACCGACCGAATAGCTCTGGTGCGTCGATTTTTGGATCGCTTTCGATTAACTTTGATTGGTACATCCCTATCATAGCAATGCTATTTGTCGAACAAAGTCGATTGATAACCAGTGACGTGACGACGAGACGTGCTTTGCGATAGATCGACTGATCTGCCATTTAAACCCAAGGAAAAGGGTCGATAAACAGGGTGTTTGCAACGGACACCTTAATAATCGATTCTTTACCATAGCTTCAAATGGGGAAATATCGATGATCGATCGATCACGCCTCACCGCACCGTTGATACTTCATTTTAGGACCGGGGATTCTTAATCGGAGATGAGGAACAAAACGGAATGTCGGGAAATGGTCGAAATGAAAGAGGACAAACGGACAACGCTGGATTAATCTGGAAATCTCATTACGTTGGACTTTTCCGAGTCGCTGGCGATGTTATGCATCACCAGTTTTTAGACCTACCTCACCCTTTTCTACGAAGAGGTCCCGCCGAGGTTGGCGTCAGACAACAAATGTCAACTCCTTCCAGCTTGCAGCTTACGGGAAGATTTCTCGTTGGATTTTAATACGACGTCGTCTACCTCAGGCAACGGGCGTATCACACGATCGCATTTGTTGGTTGAATCTCGTGGGACGGCATGGAGGAAAAAAACGGGGTGTTTGCATTTCGGGCATCTTGGATTTTTTGATGACGTAGGACGGTGCGGAGCAAAAAAATTCGACGTTATGTTCCGTTTTGCATACTTCGAATAGATTTTGCTGGAATATCGACGCCATGCTGTACCGATTTAGAACACGGGGTAAACAATCTTCAAGATGCAAACACCTCCTTTTTTTTCTCCATGATGGAATGACAGAAAAGAACAGTGTCTGACGGCAAGTCAGACGTAGTTACAGAGGGAAAACTGCCAATGACGTCATCCACCGAATGGGCACGTTGCAAACTTTTGCTAGAGCAAAAATAAGAGTTGTTACTCATCGGAAGTGTCTCCAAAATCACGATGAACGCATCGGCAAAGTCTGAAATGCACTCCTTACTTCAAAATTTGCATAAGAAATTGGCATTTTTAAAAGCTTCCCGCTTCAAAAACGATACCACAGCACAGGTGAACATTTCGTTAGAGGACCCTAGTAGCAAAATCTGTTTCACTAACATTTCAGAAACATCTCAAAAGTCTCAAACTTATATCATCTCATTGAAACGTTCCAAAAACATTTTTGAAATACATAATTGACACGAAACACTTCGAAAATTTCATTCATATAAATTTGAAACGTTTTAAAAACGTTTTCTTCTTAAATATAAATATCAGAGAGAAATTGGAAACTAATTCCAGATAAAACAATGAAACAAAATTTGGCGCTCACGTGATTTTGAAAATGATCGGTTCAATCAATAATGATACCTTTATCCAGATTTCTTGGATCCCAGATAATCGTCGACATTTTTAACCGAATGTAAACGTTTGTAACATAAAAGTCAAGCGGGCCCGAATGAAAGCTTCCGCTGTTTCCCCTCCGCCATTTTCGACTCAACAACTTGTTTTTCAATTTGAGTTTTTTACCCATTTTGAGGGTCATCGCGTCGGACGTAGTTGATCCATGCGGTTAGCGGGACCGGGTTCACGGGTTGAAATTTTAATTGAATGTTTCGTGGAAAGCGGGAGGACGGGGAGGGGCCTGAATCAGTTTGAAATATTGGTTTCCTTGATTCTCCTCTCCAGACGGATGGAGGAGGGACCATCTCCAGCCCGGCCGTCGCACAAAAGCCCGAAACAAAAGCAAACTGGCCTCATCTTCTCACTCTGTGAACGCTCTGTGGCTGGCATAGCGTTTGCGCACACTTTTACAACCGATGACGTTTGCTCACAACTCTTTCTAAATATCATTTGCGCACAATTTTATTGATAACGTTTGCGCTATTGATGACTCCTCCAGCACAGGACAGAACCGAACGGTGGCGAACTCAGTTGATGCTGTAGGCCGACAAAACTGCCGTGCTACGGAAGAAAGCCGTAAGAGCCATCGGACGTTGCCAAATTTCCTTCGATAAAGAGGAGATTTAAAGAGGAGATTTCCTTCGATAAATACCGAATTCGCAGGGAAAATTGTGAATGTTTATTTCCAAAATTTTCAGACGATTCCATACGCAATTTAATCTAAAATATCAGAATATTTCAAACAAAAAAAATGTGCATGAATGTCGTCAAAAATACATGTTTTATCAAGGGAAATTTGGCAACTCTCGAATGTTCATACGGCGTTCTTCCTTAGTACAGCAGAAAAGTG